ATTTTTATTCGTATTTGTCTTAAGATTTATACTTTGAAGAAAAGATAATCTACAATAAATATGATTTGAGTAAATAATCATAACAAAAAAATTTCCAAAAGAGAACATTAGAATTTAGTGCACATAATTAAAAACAATCATTTGCAATTTTATTTCAATATGCGATTGTTTTAGTTATTTTGTAAAATATTTGTAAAAAGTGAGAAAACTGAAATGTCGTGACCCATTTATGATATTTTCCACAACACGATGTAATTTATTTATTAACCTGCTATGCGTTGCATCGTAAACTGACTTCTTTTTTTGCAATGCAATTTAATAATTTAGTATATAACGTAAACAATTCGGATGTGGATAACTAGTGTAGCGTTAACTTATCATAAATAAGCTATTCAAATTAAAATATTTTTATATACTGATTACAAATTCTTAATTATCTCGCTCAAGAAATTAATATTATTAATGCAATTACGATACGCATACGCGTCATGACATTTATAAAAGCTAAGCATACGCCAAAGGATAACTAATTATTTAATGCTTTTACAGATAATAATGCAGAGTTAGTTAGTTCAAGGAATTCTCACTCTAAGCTTTTAAAGCATTTTGTTGCCACTATATTGATTGATGTATTGTGCTTAATGGTGAGCATTATTTGGTAATCGCATCAAGACCTGCATTTCCTCTAATTGTGAAGTAAATACGTGACGATCTTCAAAGCTTTCTCACAAACTCTTAATATTGAGCTCATAATCCGGTTTCTAATTAGCTGTAGAAAATCTACGAGAACTTAAACTTGTTTAACAGAAGCTTCAGTCTTTGTCTTAAGACTTACGCTTTTCGGAATTTTTAATTAAGTTTTATAAAATCACTTTTAATTATTGAATTTAAATACTTTCATACAAACCCCCCAAAATTAATGTAATGTTTTTAATGTAAATATTGAAAAACTTAACTATGTAAGTTATATTTTTGTTCAAGGTATATATGTATTTTGAATGAATATAATATGTGGGTGCATAGTATATGATAAATTTTTATGTGAATGCCGATGACTCCCTGCTGATTATGTAATTTTAAAACATTTCGAAACTCTCATTAAAAGAGCCTCAATTAATTAATATGATATTTCCTTAATTTCTTCAAGATAACCTTGTGATTTTTTTCCTTTGGTAACATCAAAGAACATGAAAAAATAATCTTTCGTATCTATTATTTGAAAAAAGGCCTTAAGGTCCGAATGAAAAAAATAAAAATAGCGAAAGAAAGATTCAGGCTTACAAAACAGTTTTGAGTGTATGTCCACCATGAGCATATGGTATTTGACTTAAAACCTGAATTTGAAAATTGTTCCTTTTTGTTTATTAATTATTTAATGCCTCGTTCTTCAGTTTGATTTTCATTCCCTTATCATGGTTTTTCGAGGATCTGTCACCAAAAAAAAAAATTGTCACAGTTTAAGAGCCTTAGACTCGAAACAAAGTGGTGATTTTAAACTATATACATCATTACTGGACCATTACCAGAAGACTTATCTGGCTTTGAAACGGACAAATATTTCAAAAGTTATTAAGCATTTTTAAAAATCACCAATTTGGCGATACCAACTGGATGAAAATCATCAAAATCTCTACCTAATTCTCAGTTTTTTCAAATTTTTATTAGCCAATAGTGAAATATAAAAAATATGCTTTTTCTTCTACTAGTACTTTAAATCAAATACTGTGTAACAGTGAAATACATGGAAAATTTTAACTTCAGAGAATAAAAACAATTCCTAGAACTATGAAAGAATCGTAAGTAGTGCTTTATATATTAAAAGAAAATTAGTGAATTGGGGTTTTACATATGTTTCAAATAATTTTTGTAAACTTGATTGGAAAAAAATACTTGCTGGATTTCGTATTTTACAGACAATACTTATAGATATTTTATTTTTGCGAAAGCTTTAAATTTATTGATAAATCTTAAATTCTAAACCAAACATCAAAAGCGTAAATAACTAAAACAAAACCTTTGTTTAATTCCAGAGATAATGCTAATCTGTGTTAACAATCTGTTTAAGCAAAATTAATGCAAAATTATTCACTTAAGACTTAGACCTTTACAATAGAAGAGATAGTATCGTTATTTTAAAGTAACTGTAATAGCTCTGCAGCTTTAAGGAAAATTCTTAGCCTCTTCCAAAACTAATCCCCAATCTCTTGTTTCCTTTTAATGGGGAAGAAAAAGTATACAAATGAAAGGGAAGATTAAAGGTATTTTCTCCCTCTTAAGCTCCGCTGATAGGGAAAGAATTTTTCACAAAAGAACTGAATACAAGCCATTTTTTAAGCAATTTGTTGAAAACAATCCAATTATACAGTTTGTCTGATATTCAAGCTTCAAAATTAGTGAAAAGAATGCAAGAAAGTGAATTTTTGCAGAATACTGAGCTTTATTTGAACAATTAATTTCAGAAAATAATATACTACTAAAGGAAATCCGATATTATATTTTTCTTTAGTTTTAACAGATTTCCAATTTAGAGCCTAGTCATCATCGAGAAATTATTTGGAAGAATTGTTGTTTTCGTAGTTGTTTCCAAAATTCTGGAATTTATTTTTATAATACTTACTAATTTATTGGATGAAAATTGTAACAAATGTGGAATAGTAAACTAGTTTAAAAAAGAACAACTGCAGAGATTTCAAAAAATTGCATTATACAGTATAGAGATGTCCAGTCAGAGGCTGAACTAGATCAGTGTTCCCCTATCATTCAATCAATTTCAGATTACACTATTCCCATCGAACATTTCGTGAACACTTCGTATGCCTATCCCAATATAAACCTATCCCCATTTAACAATTCGTATTCTCTTCCCATAAATAAACGTATCTCCCTCGACAATTCGTATTCGCTGCCCAATATAAACGTATCCCTACTGGTTGCAACAGAAATTGATCATTGACGATTTTCCAGTGGCCAGCCAAGTGCCGTGACGTTAGTTTAGACATATTTGTTCATTCTCTTTACAAAATTCACATCTCTGTGCAAAATTTTTTACAGCCTTGTAGTTCCAGTTCTATTTTTTCTGTAATTTGAATGGTAAAAAACGGGATCGTAGCAAGAAAGAAAAAAAGTCGAGTATATGACTTTGATTTTATAGTTCCATTTCTATTTTATTGTTAGATTTATTTTGATCATGCAAAGCTCTTCCCATAATTATTATATTGAGTAAACTCCAGTGTCGATTTCGTTTTGAACGGTTGTTGTCGAAACAGAAAAAAAAATTAAACACGAGTAAAATATATTTTTTTAAATTTAAAATAAGTATAAATTAACAATTAAAATTAGATAAGAAAACTTCCATGTTTAAAGCATTGATTATTTTGACATGAAAAAGATAGTTTATACATTTAATAAGTACAATCACTCTAACAAGCATATGGGTAAGAGATATATTATGCTGCACTTGTTGCTGTCATAAGCAACTTTGCTGCATAATTTTGGTACACTTCTTGCTGAAGTTTTAAACTAAATGAAGTTTTATTTCCATTTCAGGCTAAATACGAACTGAACTAAGCTGCTAAATCTGAACTAAATACAAAATGAAGCACTTTGTTCAAATGTTATGAAATAATAAGAATTTCAAAGAAATAAAATTAAAGCACACTATGAAGCTAATTCTATGAGAAATACTTACACAATTAAACTAGTTAGAAGGACATAATTAAACTAGTTTTGCGCATAATGAAGAAATAAATGCCCATAAAAACTAAGTTTTTTTTAAATTAATCATTTACTTAAGACTATAATTCGTCATTATTAATTCTAATAAAGGAATTAATTATAATCATTAACTACATTCTAAAGTACATAAAGTTTTAATTTAGAGCCTGGTGCTTCCGAGCAAGTTAAATAAAGCCATGGGATTGACACTAAGCCTTTTGTTCGCTATTCAAATTTTTAAATCTCATTTTTATTCCGAATTAATATCAACCCTTTAAGCAAAAGTGTCTTCATTAGCTTTTATACTTGTGTTAAGTTAAGGCTTAGCAAACAATAGATTCACTCAATGGAGTTCTTTCGAATTAATTCTATCTAAATGATCAAATCTGTGGAAGAAAAAGACATTTTCTAAAGATGTGCTTCTGATAGTCTTCCAAAACAAAAGAATTATAATCTGTTCAGTCGTCGGTAAAAATGCATTTTAATTCTGAAAAAGGTTAATTCAATCATAAACGATATCAAACGTTGTTTACCCTTAGATAAGCTTTTAATTTTTAATATTGCAGAAAATGATATATCTTTTATATTCTATGATTTCTAAATTATCTTTGAAATACATCTCGTAACTTTTTGTCAGATATATTGTACTTAAGTAATAAAACTATATTATTAAAACTGTAATAATCACAAAATAAATGTTTTTTATTGGACGTTTTTTGAAGTTAAATTGTATTAAAAACATAAATATTAAATTTTAACTCTTTACCTGCAAATGTTCCAATAAAGGAACATAGACTTTGAATTTAAATTTATGAGAGTAATTAAAGTCCGAAAAATATTTTTAACATGCATTTTAAAATTTACATTATGGAGTATTTATTGCTTTTAGTTCGATTCCATTTCCTAAATTATTTATTTTATGATTTTTTTTTTTAAATTCCATATAGTTTGTTAAATTTTTCCCTTGCAATATAGTTTATCCAAAATCCAAATTTTATAAGACAACTGAAATATTTACGAACTTTTTAAAGGATAATAGTCAACTGCCTGCTAGGCATCAACATCAAAATCTCATTTTAAAATTTTAAGCTTAACATATTAATTCAGAACCAACTGTTCCAAACATTGGCGTTTAAAAAGTTCTGTCTTTAGTTTTGGTTTGGCTTATTGATGTTGTGTGTATTTCGCTCAATTGCTATTATAATATTTATCCAGAAAAAATAATGATATTAAAATTAAAAAAGAAGGATGAATGTGACTAGGTTCAACTTTTGTTGAATTTGCAGGTGGCTAGTTGCAGTGATTGCGGCGGAGGATATTGCCATTCTTAAAATTTATACATGGTATGTAGTCATTCATTATCAGAAGGTATGTAGTCATTTATTATCTAATTATTGAGAATGAATTTCTTTTCGATAAGTTGATGACTTGCGGTGTTATACTTTTTTGATGCTTATTGTTACGATGATATAGTTGAAATATCACATCAAAGGTGGCTATCAGTATATTTTTAGCAATAGCATTGAGTAGATTCTTGCTATTTGTAGGTTTTCTTACTTGATTATTGTGATTCACATTATTTTGAAGATATATTTTTTGTTACCGAACTATCCGGCTTTTTTTCTTTTACTTGTTTCATTTACAAATTCTCTAATAACCATATCTAAGAAATACATAACAATACAAGAAGCCGTCTTAGAAACTTTTTCTGAGTCAGAATCGGAAGATTTAGAGAATTTTCAGTCAGAGATTGACTAACCAAGAGATTTAATTGACAGGAAAAATATAAGTAAGCATTTTTAGAGTTTGTTATTCCAATCTGCATGTCTGAGGAGGACGGGTTATTGCTTTTAAAATTAATATTAGATCTAAGGAAATTAAAAATCTAATTATGATATACATTATAAATATATATTAAAAAAAAGAAAACCTTTTAAGAATTAGAACTATTGAGTGAAATTCAATGAGCCAAAATAATTGGAATAGCTGGATACAATTTTTCAAAAATATCCTGGATTCAAGAATTTTGCTCCTGTTCATAGACTTTATAAAATACTCCATGAGAATATGTGCAATATTTTGCCAATAAATGCTCTTTCTAAGTTAAACCAAAATTGTAAACTGGTAATGCATTCTCAAAATAGATATTTTATAACATCTTGAGATTCTAACTTTATACCATTCTATTCAAACTCAAGACGTGTACTGGAACGCAGCTAAAGCAATCGTATCCTCCCTTCAAAATTAAAAGAAAAACTGACAAGCATTAATGCTCCAAAAATAGATCATAGTTAAAAAAGATATTCAAGTTTGTTTGTTGTTTTCAATCATTTTCTCTCATTGTCCTTAGATATTCTTTGGTAGTAAACTTATCAAATTTCAACTTCTTTAATTAAACCTCTCTTAATTCGTCGTTTCGTTTATATAGAAAAAATGCTCATAATTTTTCAATATTTACAGACTCTTAAAGACTTACTGATTTTTGAAGACATATGTGATCAAGTAGTCGTATTTTGCGTGTCCTAAGCCACAATTCAAGTGATTAGTTTAATTAAGCCACCGTCACCAAAAGACATTCCCAAGATTCGGAATCATTTGCGATCATTTCATCGTACTTCAGCGGATACTTAGCCACTGTTGCATTTTTGAGAACAAGCAGGCTGGTTGTCTCACAAAAAGGGGTTCGAGACTTTTTTAAATGCGATCCTCTCCACTATCATTCCATTCTGTAAAGCTAGATATCAAGCAAACAATAAATATGCATTTGGAATCACAAATTCGAGACAGAATAAAATAAAAACTTTGGAAGGATAAAGAAAACTCCCCTCGCAGTTTACGACGGCATGCTGTAGCATAGTTCCGTGTACTAACTGGACATGACTGTCTGGAATAACACCTAGATTGAATTCGAATCTATAAAATCCTTCCTGACCCCTCTGTATGACCCTATGAATAGACATTACCTCCGTCAATTTGCAGTTTTTCAAGAACATTCTGAAACGGTGCTTTATAGGCAGGACAGAGAACTTTTAAAGCAAAGACATCTGGCAATTCTGTTTTGTAATATTTTATACTGTGTTTTTACTAGTTTTGTGTACAACTATTTGTCTGTTATTTGCATTGCCATTGGAAATAAAAATAATAATAATATTTCAAGTGCCATTAGTTCAGCGCATATGAAAAATAGTTTAAGGAATCACATTTTTTAACATAAAGCTAAACTTTAAAAAAGTTTAAGCAGATTTATTTCTAAACAGATTCTTTTGTAAGGATAGTTATGATTTTTTTTATTCTTTTAATTTAAATGAGCGAAATTCAAAACAACATACAAAACTTCAATGAGTCTATTTTTTGATCCTAAAAAATTTATTGTATTATGCAAAAGTAATTTAAATTAAATAAAAAATCAATACTTTTGAAGTTATTTGTTTTTTATTTATTATTATAAACATAGCAGCGACAGTTTTTGTCATTAAAAAATTCACAGGAACACAATTTCAATCAAATTTCCGTTCATTTTACATCACGTAGTTATTTAAAAATGAATAAGTAAGAACAACAGCAAAAACGAACAGCATCTACATGTTCAGAGAAGCATATATAACTATAAATAATAAAACGAAAAGATTAGTGAAAGTAGTTATCTAAATAATCTGAAAGTTTGGAAAATCTGAATACATGAAATCTAATTAATGCTTGATAAAGAATTATTTCTTCGTCGCTCAGATAAAATTATTAATAGCTCAGATAAAAATAGTCCAAAGAGCATTTTTTTTAAAATATTGAGAAAATGAAGTGCACATTAAAAGCCATACCTATAAGTAACATATTCTCATCCTGTAAATGTTGAGTCTATAAACTGTTGGAAAAACGTGTAGCAAATTGGTCAGTTTCTCAAAAATCACTGGATCAGGGGTCAATGAGCCCAAGTAACTATAACTCAATTTCATCAAGTTGGAATTTCAGTTTTGTGTTAAAATTAAATTGTTACTTTCAATGTACTAAATGTTGCTTTTTCATTTTTCGCACAACACGTGCAGATTTCAGTTAAGTAAATACCGATTCGTTATTGTAAAATAATAAATTTCACGCTGGAAAGGTGAAGCGTGATAAGCTTTTAGCAGCTTATCATGGCAACAGCTCTTAACAGCTTATCATTTCACAATTTCAGAAATTCCCCAAAAATTTCTCATAAATACTTAGATGATTATATATAACTTTAAAAATTTTTAGGTCAGGCAAGTTTTTAGAGGTTTGAGGGACCGTCAATTAATTATGGAGGACTAAAAGTGTTTTCGACTAAAGAATCTAGCAATAACTCTTGCACACATTTCTTCCTCCACATAAATTTTAAGACTATGCACTAAAGTTCAAAATTTTAAGACTAAAAAATGAATACATACAGTTTCAATTTTACACACATTGTTTGTTTTTTTCTAAATTTGACCACTTTTTTTTTGTCTTGGATCTATTTTGACGAAATTTCGCTCAACTTTGAGAAGCCTTTTTCGCTAGCGTACTATTCAATAATATTTAACGATTCTGAGTAGCACTATTTAAATTTTGTATTGAAAAATATATAGTCATAAAAGCATTTTCTTAGAATTAAAAAAATTATACATAGATATTACTCCGTATATTTTATTTTTGTAATTTTAAGTAAACATAATTAGTAAATTCTTTTTTTAGGATCCTTGTTGTTTTTGTAACTGTTTCAAACATAGTTGATAAATATTATATTTATCCATTATTATATTTTTTTATAATAACAATATTCAGTTAGTATTTTATCCCAGTTCAATGAGTTGTTTTTATTTAAAAATATATTTATGAAACTTATACTTTTTAAGAAGTATTTAATTAAAATTTGAACTCCAAGTCTTTGGAAATCATATAAGTTTAAATACATAGTGTTCAAATTTAATTCCATATAATTAGTACTTTAAGAAATCTGCATAAAACTAAATTAAAATAATCGTCTACTAATATGGAATTACCCTTCCTAAAGGAAAAATTAAACTTCCTTTGGCAAAGTTGGTAAGTATTTTTCTTTTACTTTTATTTAAAAAAAACTTTCTGTTTTGTGACAGATTTATTTACCATAAAACGTATTCTCGTGTACTTTATCGGATTAAAAACTTCCTTAAATAAAGCTATTGTTTAAGTGAAAAACTAAGAAAAACAATCTTTGCTTTCCTATAACTATTATGTTTTTTGAGAATAAAGCATTATCACACAATTCCACAACTAACAAGAATATACACAAGATAAACAGATGATTAAAAAAATTCCTCTCAAAACATTACATTAACAAACATGATTAAATATCCAACAATGGAATTGTTCGCCTCACTCGCAATTGTTTGATTTTTATAAAGCGTTCAAGAACGTCAACTAAGAGGAAAAAAATAACAGAATTAATGGAGCATGATTTTGTTAAGAGAGATTTATAAATATTTTTCTCGTGCTTTATTTTTTATCTCGTAAAACTCAATTTAAATAATTACTTTAGCAGTACTTAAGATATTATTTTTTTCCTAAGTCGTAAACAATTTTTTAGCTCAAAAGTAAATGAACTATTAAACTCTATTTTGAATAAGGTTTTCAAATAAAATCTACGCCAAAAACTAGTTTCTACTTTACTCAATTGAATATCTCCTTAATCTTGAGTTTATTTTTTAAAAGTAATGCATTTTAAATATAAATGAATATAAAATTAATTTTATAAAGTTGAAAAATTTCTAATTACTAATACCGTGCAAATTAAATATGTAATGACAATTGAAAATATTGAATATTTCTGTAAGTTTTAAAATGTGTAGCGTTAGTTAAAACTAATATATTAATTATCATAATCATAAAAGTATTATGATATAAAAATTGCTTATGTATAAATAGTTTATATAAACTTAGCGAAAGAAAAATAGCTATTTGATTGCATAAATATTTGTAAATCACAGTAACTATTTAAAAATATATATGACATATTAACTTAATTCATAAAATTAAAAATATGAATTCAGGAAAAATTTGAAAGAAGCACCTTTTTCTTAAATGTTTTTAAGATTTACATTAAAAACAATGCTAACATCAAAAAATGTTAACCTAGATTCCGAAAAGGAGCAAAACTTTTTTTTCTTTTACTAAACCGATTTCGAACTTGAGGTGATGGACTCTTTTGACTATACCATCAAGAAGTAACTATATTTTTAACCTTACATTGGTTCATAACGAACTGTTTTTGTTGGAGCATCAAAACAACCAATAAACTATGTTTGTTTTGTACATGTTAATCCAACATAAAATTGGGAAAGTTCTAATATGTAAGTCTAGATGGCATCAAGAAAAAGCATAATAGGTTTTGATGAATGCTTCTGCTGATAATCATTTTATTTATCGTTTCAATGAAGGTCAATGAAGGTCAAGACAGTTGTGACAGTTTTTTTTAATTTGACAAATAATTATGGAAAAACCATTAAAGTGTTCCTAGATGTTCTTTTGCCATAGAAATAAAAAAGAAGCAATTCAAGTGCTTCAAACTTAAAAATATAACTTTTATTTCAAAATATACGTAACATCATGCTAAATAGAATTTATTGTTCTTCAAAAAGTACAGTGTAATGATTTAAAAAATACCAAGTACGCGATATTTTTTCTATTAGAATAAAATTATTAAAATAATCGAATAGATTTCAATTTTAATATAACGCTTCGAGCCCTAGCAAAGCAATGTTGGTTACACTTTTCAAATGTTAAATATTAAGATTTTGAAATAATTTCATTTTGAAAATTTATTCGAGTAAGACTATTGATTCGTATTCTGCAGCAGAAAATCCCTTTCATTAATGAGTAATTTGGCGCCACTAGAACATTTAAAACTTTTGACAAAATTTTCAATTATTACATTTTAACTATTAGCCTTAATCGCTAAATTTAATATTCATCCCAGAATAAATTTGCCTCCTGCTTTCAATTTTTTTAAAGTTGAACAAGTTTAAAGGGTTTGGAAATTACCTTCCTAGAGGTTGCATGTAATGCGCTGTGCGTTTTATTAACTGAAACATAATTACTTAGCATCCTTGGCCAACTCCAAAGTGTCTAGAAAATTCAATGAATACAATTACCATCTATGAAGAAGAACTCATTTTTTTCAAGTACGACTTTAATGTGACAATAGTTTCAAAGTCACTTTACAAATAACTAAAGATATCCCGTTTCTGCGGTTTCAAAAAAAATTCACTACAGTTCTTTATTCTACATATTACACATTATTTGCTTAAGAATAACAGTGGGGAACTTTTTTCAAATCTATAAGATTTTTTTAGTAAAGTTTGGATATTTTCCCGTCTGTTATTTTAAATCAGCAATCGGTTTCTTCCTTTAAGCCTACAGTTTTCTTAGTCTATTTTTTGTCGAAGTGCACAAGTTTAAAAACGTTAAATATTACAGAGGGTCGCATAAATGTTGCGAAAATCTTCTAGCGGAGTTAGGCCAGAAGACAATCCAGTGGAGTTAGGCAATCTTCTAGTGGATCAGGATTGAAATTACAGAGAAACCCCATGTCTGGAGATATCATCATACGACATATCACCATACTCCCTGTTATGAACAGTTCATGTGCTATTGAGCAGGTCATAACAGAAAAGCGTGAACTATCTGTGTACGATGACATTTCAGGCATTGGGTATCTATGCAGTTTTAACCCTGTTGACGTACCCTAACTTCCTTAAAAGTTTGCCGCAATATTTATGTGACATCCTGTTAAAAATAAAGTTTTTGATTTTACACATTCCGACGAAAAACTAACTGAAAATTTCATTAAAAATCTGTAGTTTTAGGAGCAAAACTAATTTTCGATTTAAATCCCCGTACCCAAATTTAGCAATACCAAATATTCGTATAAATTCAGTAAAAAAAATTTCCCCAGTGTAAATCAATGATGGTTTATACAACATTCTCGTACTGCCACAACACCAACTCTTCTTCTCTTTCTGAAATCTGTGCCAATGGAACCTTTTTTCTTTTCCAGCCAAGACCTTCTGACATCTTTTTTTTACCCTATTAGCATCAGTTTCAACGTCATCGCATCAATTTCCATTTATATCTTCTGTCTTCATAAGAATGAAATCTGAAATGGACTCCTAAGTCGTACCGGTAGGAGCTCACA